GGTTAGGCTAGCAGACTCGTATTCCTGAGACTGCGGGTTTGGGGGTTCGAGCCTCAGCTCGGTCCGACGTTGTGTCCTTGGGAAAGGCACTTAACCACCATTTTCCCACTTGGCTCGGTCCTTTCTAAATTAAACTCGGAGGTCCCGCCTTTATATAGCTTTATAGTGTTGATAGGGGTGTTAAACCTATACCATTTCACCATTTTTCACGTCCCCCGTCCAACATGCAGGTGGTTGGGGAGCGCCACTGGTAGGTCCTACTTCTTTACTTTCCCTTTGTTGTTTCTGTCTGTCTATCTTACTTTTCCCCAGCACTAAATGACCACTTACGTGTCGAAGTGCTTCTGTTTACTCAAACAAACAAACAAATAAACCCTTCAACCCCATCTCAATTTCGATCAATGTGAGAATAGGCGTTGGTGACCATGGTTCGCCATTCTTTTCGTTGCTCGGATTCACCAAAAAGGAACTATATTATTACCCTGATCTTCCTTCGTTATAATATCTCTGATCAGGTTTTCCAAGTTACGTACTAGGACCATATTTCTCCATGAAGTACCTCGTAAGTGAGTGTATACCATGTTTGGTGGGGGGGGGGGGGGTCTGGATGTACCCCACACAGTCTGGCTGGGCCATGACAGGATGCTCACACCAAGAAAGCCAGTAACATCATCAGATGTGTCACTGACCTGGTGTGAGCAACTTCCCCACGACTGTGGACATTTGTCAGTAACTTGAGGGAGGGGGTGGAGGAGGAGGAAGCAAGACAGACAGACAGAAACGACAGGGGAAAAGCAAAGAAGTAGAGCCTACCAGTGCAACTTAGCAGGGACTGTGCCCGCCATTTCGGAACTTCACGGTGACCGTATAGATGGTTCCAGTAGGGAACGGGATAGAGGGTTCCAAAGTCCCTCGTGGCTCATTGAAGCAGAGCAATATAGGACTAACGCTAACATTACCTAAACGCAATCCCACATCATCACTCATCTCCACCATTATTTCTAAAATCATCACCGCTCTCAGATCAATGACTTACATCTATAATCCTGGAATCTCTCTCTGTAACAGTTATTTGTCATACTAAGTATGCACGTAATACACTATTAGACACTGTCATACGCACTTTTTTTTACTAATCAGATGGCGTCAATGTCATATAAGTGGACAAGGGATTTTTAAAAAATTAGAAATAAAAGGACCTACCAGTGGCGCCCTTCAACCACCCACCCACTGTTTTACCTGCATCTCAACTTAAATCAGTCTGATGTCGCTTTTGGCGAATGCGTGTATTACCATATTATCCTTTTTTTTTTCTTCTGTTTTTTTCTGTCTGTCTATCCTGCACTATATGACCGTTATAGTGACGACGACGTGCTTATTTTTTATACAAAAAGGGGGGGGGGAAGGAGCGAACTGCGGTCAATGTCCCGCCGACGTTGTGTGGACAGCGACTTAAAATTCTGCCAGCGGCCCCTTTGTGACCCGTGATCCTAGTTTGTTGGAGCGCGGTCTCCCCCAGGGCGAGTGTTGTTGCCCTGGTATGCAAATGTGCACGCCTCCTTATTTTGGTGTCGTAGCTGGCGTTGTCAGCTGATGCTGGGGGGCGGAGAATTGGACAGGGGAGCGGATGTTGGGTGTCAGTGATTTTCTCATCCTGAAAGGAAGGGTGGATGGCCCGGGGGGTCGGGGGAATAGAAGAGACAGGAGAGGGTTGAGGGGGGGGGGGG